ATACCATCTGCTTTAGCTCTGCAGTGGGAGTTATTCACAACAGTCACAGCAGAGGGCCCTCGGCCAGTTTATGCTTTCATTGAGTAAAGTGCGGACACTTTCACGGCGCCGGTTGACGGTCACTGTTTAAAGAGTCTGACCCAGATGAGAGTATGATAAATGACTTAAGATTATACAGTGCTCGTTCAAGTTCAAAATGATGTTTATACTGCAGAAATATATGCACTATTTTCATTGAGCATTCTTAAAAGAGATCTCTACCAAACTGAATACTTCAATTTGGTTATTGCTTCAGTTTCAACAAAGCTAGCACCCTTAAATGACTGAATGGTATATAGTGTGCTAGCCCATATATTGGTTAAACTTCTCCACAATAAAATGTTCTAAGGGTGCACAAAAAGTCAGTTTATGGCTACTTCACAAATATTTGCTGGTGGTAAACACAGGTGGGTTTTCCAGGAAAAAAACATCTTGGGGCCAAAGACCTACTTTGCATTTCAAGAACCGAGGGCAAACATTTCTTGGAATAAATAAAGGAAAAGCTACAAGCTGCTTCCCAGATGGAGCATTTAAGTCTGATAGTATACTGTTGCTTTTATGCTACTCGACTGCCAAGTGATCTCCTGAGGAGTACGGTGAAAAAACCCTGTAGCAATTACTCCTTTCCCCCAAATGTACTGCCAGAATGGTGCGGATTACAACTGTAAAACGCAATGCTCCATCAAACCTCTGAGCAAATCATGGAAAAGTCCTCTTGCATACCAGCTGTCTTTACATGCATTAATTAGTTCTAGAATTAGGTCGAAATCAATGACCCTGATCCTTGACCCCGGTGTTGTACACCAACTGGGAACACTCAGCAGCTGTTAGCATCAGAGTCAGGACAAAGCCAGGTCAAGCTTGTTGGCTTGTCTTCTTCAACTTCAAATTCCTCTTTTCTCTTTAAGTATTGTGGTCAAAATGAAGGCTTTTCTTAGGAATCCTCATATGGAAGAAGAATGACATTTATTGAATATGCCATTTACTGAGTTGCTGAATATTTCTTGTCAGAGGAGTTGGACATGGGGTGATTTTTTTTAGTCGTCTGGGGTTATGAGAAAGGATGCAAATGTAAAATCTGCAGGATTCAGACTGTGCTTAGTGTGTGAGTTGAACTTGGCCTGAATTTGACAAGCAAGGGTGAAGGTAGAAGGAGAGAAAAGAGAAAGCACTGTGGGTGCAAATCAATAGAAACAAAGACTCAATTACAGAGATATGCACGAAAGAGAGGTGGTAAAATATTAACAACCCTTATTAAAGGCATTTAGAAACACTCGGCATGGGTAAACACTTCGATCTGCCAGCTTTTACTCACCTTGTAAAAGATTTGGAACGGATGACTAAACCACATGTTCATCTTTGCTTTAACTTCTACCACATTCAAACGTCAATTCGAAGAGGTGAAATAAAGGTTTTTGGTTTGTAAAACACACGTAAAAATAGCCAAGGTCTCTGCTCCATCTGCTGCGCCGCGTGATGGAAACACCAGCACTGTTTTTGACGTCAAGGTTAGTAGCTTCAAACATGATTGTATCTGCATTATTCAGACTGTTTCTCCACAGAGAACATCGTTAACGCGTGTATCAGAGACGCTCGGAGTTCTCTTCACTTCGGCCGTTTGACATTTTTACAGCAAATGTGAAACAAATGGAGTAAAAGCTATAATATTTTGTTATTACAGGCACACTTCATCGTGTTGGGTATACAGTTCAGAGTGAGTGTCAGACTTGGAAAGAAGCCAGCGAGGTCTGCCTTTCCAGAGATGTCTCCACTTTATTTGATGTTGTAGAGAAAAGGCAGATGATAAGGCAGACTGGGATTCACCTCCTTTCTCATTCTAATGGCGAATTGTATTGAAATGTTTGACTACAGAACCAACAGCTTCGAGTGCTGAGGCCTATCAAGCAAGAAAGTCAATGCTAAATGACAGCATGGGTGCCATAGCAAAAGTATTGGACATGAAACTACAGTATCAGTTACTTAGTAAAAAGCCAATACCAAAAGAAAGATGGCTATTGATGGTGCATGCCCGTTTGTATTGGTTCCAACTCCGACAAACTGGTCTATAACTTCTACATGTGCATGAAATTAAACTGTAATTCTTCGCCTTGGGAAACACCCTCAGCCTCTTTCTTCTCTGTGATGATAAATAGTGTTTCCCAAATGAGCAGCTTGATTTACTTCGATCGTTAAGGTAACCCAATCCAAAGGAAAATGTTACGATTCCACCTTAAAGCCCGTCTAAAGATTTAAGCCTGCAGGCGCATGTGTGTATGAGTGTGTGATTTGTTTCATGAGTGTAAAGCTTTCCAGATTTAGACGCTGGCCTCCGTCATCCTATGAGGAGGAGGTCGCACCTAGCTGTTAGCATCCGTAAAAAGCTCCAGTAAGTACCTGCTGGCAGCCTGACAGCCTCTTTGATGCTAAACATCTGACCTGCAGCTCATTTCCTCATCCGGGGGATAGAGAACAGCATGATCCCATTCCCTAAACATACAGATCTGATAATCAGGATGTCCTTAATCAATCTCTCTCATTTGATTCATTATGACATCAGCTAGCGCTTTAGCTTTGGAGATGTTAGAGGACGCAGAGGTTTTGTTTGTTTTGTCGTTAACCATTTCTGCTTCAATTAAAACCGTTTGCAAAAGATCGGAATCGGGAGGAAAAAAATCGGGGATCAGGATTTTTTTTTTAATTTTTTTTTTTTTATAAATACTTTTATTTAAATTTTGTATTCAATGTTACAAAACAAAAATGACCATGTTCAAGTCTTAAAGTCATCCTGAGGCCTTAGTTTTGGTTTCAAATTACACAACATCATGTATGTGTTGCTTCTNATGCAGTAAAAACCAAAACACCTGGGATATTTGGGGATGTCCTTAACGTTAAGAAATACTCAAGATGCTGAGAGTTCAGTTGAATTGAGTGAACATTTGAGTTGCATACAATTAACATCTTCTTAACTTCTTCAGTTATAGTTGACGGTTGCTGCTCAACGAACATATAAGAAGCATGTTTCTGAAACCACAGTTTCCCATGATAAATGAGTGAAGACCTCGGTCATAATCCTGACAGAAAACATGTTCACTTCAGAGCTCCAGGGTTAAGACAATCCAAGGCTGTAATAATAGTAATAACCGTATTACAGCCTGTCCCCCTCTTCATGTTCCAGACCATTACGTCTACATTGCATCATCTGTTGGAAACTTTACTGAAGGTCTTGAAGCCCTCAGCGGACTTCATATCAGAGCAGGGGTGAGCTGTTTTAAAAGCTTGCCATCAAAAACGTCTTCTGTGGGAGTGAGATCAACGCTGCTGAGTTTACCACTAAAGTACATGCAATGTCTGGTCAAATGAATAATACAGCCTGCTAGTTTTATGTGCAAACATTTGGCTGCATCCTGCATTTACAGTCAATCTTACAAATCTATAAACTATCCTATCTTTAAACCTCAAATCCCCAGCAACCACCGAGATAAAACTGCTCCCTCTCAGTAGCTCTTACTAATACAAAGTGTCTTAAATTGCTGCAATGATTACAGTCTCGAAATATATCAGCTTGAGTGTTAAGTATAAATGCTTCTGATTTAACATCTAAAATACTTGCAAAATCAGGCCTATTTAATATTGCGTTCACAATCAGTAGAAGGTTATTCATGTTTCAAAAGCGATTGTCCAGTGTGTGTTATTTGTGGAGAGGAAATTGAACCAGAGTTTATATTTCATATCTGCTGCCAGTGGAGAGTTATCAAATCCAGGGTTTCCTGCAGAACACAGAAAATCTCCTCAGGCAAAAACTAAATCTCATCAAATTGATGCTCTTCCTTTAGGCCGGGTTGCCAGGTTTGAATAAGCTGTGAAACTTTGCTGAGGATGCCAGGGTTCAAATGCAATGAGACAAAACTGCAAGCTCGTTTAGAAGGTCGTTTGTAAGCACAGAGGCTTTGGAAAAGTGTGTATTTGTATCTAAATGTATCGTA